CGGCTTCGAATTCTACTAGATGGATATAAAGACAACCTTTCTAAATGGAGAGTTAGAAGAATAAATTTATATGAACAATCAGAGGGCTTCATAGAAAGGGAAAGGAAAATCTAGTGTGTAAATTTAACGAGTCCCTTTATACCTAAAGCAGGCATTAAGGTACATAAAGTTTCAAGAGACCTTGTCAAAAGCTAGTTTTGTGCCCAACCAGGAGGATTACTGTATGTATGTATCACTGAGAGTGATGTTTTGTCCATCTCCCTGTATGTGGATGACATGTTAATTGCTAGTAGTTTAATGACTCTCATTTTGGAAATAACAGTTTTCTTGTCACAACACTTTGAAATGAAAGATCTTGGAGAGGCTTCATATATTTTGGGAATCAAGATCACGAGAAATAGACGAGAGGATCATTTAGTTATCTCAAGAGACACATTGCAAAAAAATACTGGAAAGATTTGAGAAAATTATAAACCCATACTGACCCTTATTGATAAGAAAACCAAGTTAAGCTTGGCCATGTGTCCCACAAGTACATAAGAGAAGAGGCCATGCAGAGAATCCATAACTAGGGACGAGACCGGGCTTATTGTTTGTTGTGAGCATGATTAGTAGGTTCTAGAGTAATCCAAGCACGGAGCACTGTCAATCTTGCGCTCACTTATGGAAGGAGATTAAAAGAGTTCTATGATGTTTAAAGGAAACTGTTATTCTTGTGCTCACTTATGGCGTAGACTTAGATATTTAGATACAGGGATACTCAGATGTTGACTATCACGATGATCCAAATGAAATGAAGTCTACACTGGGTATATCTCCACACTTGCTAGTGGAGCTGTTTCTTGGTGCTCAAGGAAATAGGACGTCGTTACACTCTCGACTATGGAGTCAAAGTATGTGGTTTTTTGTCTCGCAGCAAAAGAGGCCTTCTGGTTGAAGAAGTTCCTAAATTAGCTTAGGTTTCATCCAGTTAAGGTCTTGTATGTGAGGATCTCTTGTGACAACCAAGCAGCGATTTGTGTGCTAAGGTGCCATGGTTTCATAAGAAATTTAGACGCTTAAAGGCGGACTATTATTACATTCGCAATGAGATTCGAGTGGGAGAGATTGAGGTATCTTATCTCCCTACAGAGGCTATGTTACTTAGGAGATCCTTTGACTAAAGGATTAGTAGCAAATGTATTTGCGAAGCATGTAGATAGGAATGGCTTGAGAGTGAGAGAGAGAGAGTGAGAGGGTGTGATTATACGACCTTTAAAGGCCAAGTAAGAGATGTTGAGCTTTGGGCCTTTGAAGCCCATGAGAGCATATAAAAATAATAAATATAGTGGATTGTGCAGTTCAGTAGGAGTATGTTGGATGACTGACCTAGGTTGGGGTGGTCTATGGCCCAAGTCATGTCCAAAACCCTTTTCCCTGGGGCATAGGCACTACCATTGAAGGTTTCTTGGAGAGTCGTCTTGTATTGAGGTCAAAGAGATGCCCAGGGACGATGTGTGTAGGCTAAGAGAGCTTTGGGTCTCTTGAGTGCGGTTGTAGGCATGTGAGAGCGAAGGTTAAATCCTTGCACGACATATACATTTGACAGCAACATTCTGGGAAGCCTGTAGAAGGGGATGTGTACATGTGCATGAAGAGAGTCTCCTTGCACTATAGTTATAGGTACATGTAACTTGCTATTGGGGGGAACTTGTAATCCACATACTATTTTGATGGGCCAAATTATGAGCCCTTGTGCTTGATTATGGGTCATGGGTCCTGCTTGGCTTGTCTGAGAAGATATTTGTGGATCATAAATTCTAGTACAGGTGTAGTCAGTGTTTTAAAATGCGGGATGCAGTCAGGGGTCCAATGCTGTGATGCGACTTGATGCGGTCCAGATGCGGGTGCATCACTTCAATGCGGTCAATAAATATAAAAAAATTCCAAAAAAATTAAAAAACTAGCTTAATGCAGGGGAAAAATATGTGGTGATTTATATTATAGTAGGTATTTCATTTATTCATTACCTCCAATATTATCAGTTGTTGAAGACTCTAAATCCCTTTATAGAAGACAATGGAAATAGAAAGTAGAAACTTGAAACTAACTTCATAGAAGACATTAGAACTTAGAAGACGTCATATTATCATAATTCATAAACATCCAAACCCATAACAAATTCGCAATTGCAAACTTTAAAGTTGCAAACTCTAAAGTAAAGATACATACAACTACTAAAAGTTTATGAAGAGTTCAAGAGTTGAGACACATTATAGAAGACAATAGAAATCAAAAGATGATCCAATCAACTGTCAATCTCAAATCTCAATTAGACAAAGTCATCTAGGGAGTCTTCATGTGCATGTGCATCTCTAGCATCTGAGTGTGAGGAATCATCTTCATCAATATCATCCCCTGCGGCCTCCACATATTCTTCATCTTCCTCGGCTCCTCTGAGTTGGCCAACTCCTCCTCGACCTCTGGAATTGATATGCCATTGGATCTAGCTTTTCTCTTTTGTGCTCTAGTGTAACGATTTAGGAAGTAAAAACTTACCAATTGATTAAAGTTTTTTTTTTGATATCTGCTTGGCCCTTGAACGCTAGATATGTTGATGAATCTATGCGCAAAATTTTTCAAAACAAAGCTCAAGATAATCCCAATCGACAACCCAACCAACACCTAGAGCAAATTGACAATGTTTTTTCAAAACAAATTTCTGCCAATTTTTTTTTCTTTTTTTGTTTGATCCAAAAACCGCCACATTTGTAGCTGTTTTTTGTGTTTGGGGGATTTAATACCCCCTTAACTCTTTCCCCCTTTTAAGGGGGGAATTTCAAAAATACCCATGCTCATGAGCTTTGTGGTGCATATGCACTATGAGTTATGCACTACATGGCCGCATATGCTGTGGGATGTGGCGCATATGTGGGGGCATCCCACCAAAGCACGTATGCGCCCCTATGTGATGCGCTTCGGGGCGTAGAGCGCATTGTGCTACCGCAAATGCGACGATGCAGCCGCATTTTAAAGCAATGGGTGGAGCGCCCGGACAACCACTTTTCTTGGCACATTGGTACAAATCCACTTCTAAAGCTATTTCTGAGCGTTTTTTTTTTTTTAAGTATTTCAAAAATATTTTTCTCAACTTTACTTATTATTATGCTTTTGTGATTTTTAAATATTTTTTGAATTTTTAAAAATTATTTTATGGCTTAAAACCGTAAAAGGGCACTTTGGAAATTTTAGAAGTTAGTAGAGGCAAGGTGGGACCCATGTGGCGCTAAGGGCCAAGCTTTTACACCTAGGGGGCCCACATGGAGTGAGATATGGAGCCCACATAGGCCACACACCCACATAGGTGGGATGCCCCACTAAATCTAAAATGTATTTCTTTTTCTTAGTTGAAATCTTTTAGGATATCATGTAAAAATATTTGGTTGGAAATATTGCTTACGATTTTGAATTGGATCTTTATGTTGACTTTGATTTCTAATGAGTATTGGAAGTTATTTCTATGTTAGAAACTTGGAGTCCAAATTTTATGGGACTATGGGAGATCTAATTCTAGTCTAACTAGGAGCGCATATGGGTCAAAGATTCAGGGGATAAGGTTCTTAAGATTCCTCCTTAATCATGATAACTAATTTCAGGGATGAATGACTCTGATTTGTTTCTCTCTCATTCACAGATTACCTAGGAATTTTAAGTCAAATTGAATTCTAATTCAATTTGGAATACCCTAGAGCCTTGGGGCCTATATAATAGAGGGTCCTTCCCTCATTCTTTACACCTTGTTTTATGACCATTCTCTCTCCTTGTATCTCCTCCACGCCCCTCCTCTCTCTCTCTCTTGTGCCAGCCCATAGAGACCTAGGGGTGGCACACACTGCCTAGGGCATAGAGAGGGGGAATGCCCAGTGGCATGCGTCAAAGGTTTAAAGTGCTCAATCGGTTTGGTTATTGGTTGCAGGAAGCGCTAAAGTCTTAAGGGGGTAAACCCTGGGCAAAGGTTTAGCAAGTCTTTGTTTTTGTTTGTTAGTTTATTTTCAGTTCTTGATTCATTTTTGTTTTAGAAGTCCTAATCGTGTTAGGAGTCCTTTTATTATTAGTATTCCTACTTGGACTAAGACTTTTACTTATTAGAATTCATATTGTAAGTTTGAATTCAGTTTTTTAATAAAATTTTATTTGGCACTTAGAGTTGAAGATCCTATATTGCAGTATTTCTGCATTGTATTGTGGCGGCTGTAAACACTTATTAATAAAGGAAGAGGGGAAGTTTTTTGAATTTATACAACGCAGCCACACCTTCCAATCCCAACCCTCAAATGGCGTTGGACATTTGAAGAGGTGCTAGATAACCCAAATGATAACATAGTATAAAAACCCATAAAGTATCATCTTGACAAACTATGAAAAACTGTGGTTTAAAATTGATATGAAAAACAATGCATCAAAGTTATGGAACAGGATATATCGAAACAAAGATTAAACCTTTTTGGAATGGAGTGTCAGAGAATTTGGCGTATTTCATGAATTAAGACCGTATCTTTCATAGTTGGAATAAAAATAAGGTTTTCAAATAGAAAGCAAATGGAAATGATGGTATACCATAAGAATTTTGATGCCTTCTTGTTTTGACCATCTCTAAGAAACCATTGATGAGAGTATGGAAAAGCTAATAAAGAAACTTCAGAAGATTCTTGGTGATTATGATGCTACACATTTGTAATGTAGTAATTGCTGAATGCTCTCTATGTACTTACTTCTAGTGACGAATTGGAAGAGATGATTCAAAAGAAAATTTCTACTTGCCATAGCTCTTAACCAAAACTTCTTAGACTCAAAAAGTAAATTTTGCCCTTGAAGTACTGCTGGACTTTTTATAGAGCTATGGGCCAGAAATTTGCAAAAAGTGGTGAGTTTGGTGCTTGGATTTGTTGATATATTCATTATTTATTACAAGAAAGACACTGTATTTACATTTTAGTTATTTATATTGGGTTTTTAATCAGAAAATCAAGGAAAACATCCCCTCCATATCGTGTGTTACTGCATAACGACAACTATAACAAGAGAGAGTATGTTGTCCAAGTGTTGATGAGAGTTATTCCAGGAATGACCCTCGACAATGCAGTCAATATAATGCAAGAGGCCCATTATAATGGGATGGCAGTGGTAATTGTGTGCGCACAGGTTGATGCAGAAGAACATTGTATGCAATTGAGGGGTAATGGCCTGTTAAGTTCAATCGAGCCAGCAGGAGATGGGTGCTGATACTATGCAGCCAATGCATGTTGCGTTTTGTAGTTGCTAATACTATAGGGCTGGCTGGCTGGCTGGCTGTAATTTATTTGTAAATAAATAGCTTGGGAATGACCCATACATATTATATCCACGATTATGTACAGTTGATTACTTTTGTAGAACCCTAGTGAATAAGCGCAGATGGGGGAATATTTCTCTCCACTTTTAGTTAGTAATGTCTTGGAAGGCCCTTTTTTTTTTTTTGATAAAATTGGGGTTCATTTTCCATGGAGGTATGATAATCTTTGCAATAATTTGTAGATCGATTTTTGGGGCTTATGGTAAATCACCATTATTTTGAAGGACCACTGATTTGCTCTCTTTCTAAACTTGATTTAGTTGCTGCAGCATACTGGTTAGTTTGTAAGCTTGCCACTTGACTAGTGATCTCAATTAGTCTTCTGTCCATTTCTACAGAGTACTGTTATGGTCGTTTCTGTCCATTTCTGTCCATCTCTTATTTATTAAAAATACCAGGAAAAACTACCTATGGACAGTACTGTCCATTTCTACAGTGTTGACTGAAGCCCCAAAAACCATGTTAGGAGAAGTATTAGGTTTGGAAATGCTGCAAACATACCTGATTTACCATGTGAACAGTTCTAAAAAAGGAGAAAAAGGATTTTCAACTCTCTATAACTGTTGATCTAGTTGTGGAAATCAACTCTTTATCACTGTAGATCTAGTTGAGCAAATGGATGGTCCATAATCAAAGTCGGAACATGAGCTACGGTCGAACAAATCAATGCTTTTTGGGGCTTCCATCAACCCTGTAGAACAGGGTGGCCCCATCCATACAATATTCTCTAGAAGACAATGTAATGGATTTTAATTGCATTGTACAAGTCCATTTATTTCTAGGAGGTCATAATCACTTTTTAGTTATTGGTAAAATCCAAAAGATGCATGTGTCACAACATTAAATAAATTTTATTTTGAGCTTTGTATCCAAATAATGATGCATTCTCAACTATTTAATTTCAAATCAAACGGTCAATGATGATTGTGATTTGTATAAAAAATAAATGGTGTTATTTTATACATTTCTTATTGTTTTATGGAAGCGGTTTCTATACTTCTCTTACAACATAGAAGATCTATATGCAGTCGTCAAATTTTGATCAAGAGAGCCACTCACCGTTTGATGTTAGATCTGATATCTCAAAGTTTTTTATTATACAAATTGTATGAATATAAAATTTGGTACATGCACATCTATAAAAAATATTAAAATTAATTTTTTGATAAAATATAATGATTAAAATACCCCTTGAATCTTTCAGAGGTATGTTAGTTATTTTATTTTATTGGAAATATTTTTTTAACATTTTTGGCTAGTGTGAGTTTAATAGAGGATTGGACGTCTAAAATTTGGTGTCAAAATAGTTTATAGAAAAAAATTTAAAATAAAATAGTGTAGAGACATGACATTGTGATTGAGGCAATCTTAGCCCTTCATTCAGAATGGACAGTTGGATAAGGGGAAGTATATACGTTTTATGCTGTAGGGAAAGTATAGAAATCTTGCCCTTATTTTATTTCATCATAGAGAAAGTCAATATCAAGATTTCTTTTGCCAAAATCAAGAGGATGTAATTAGGCGTCACAATGTACTCAGTTCGTGTTGAACCTTTCCCCACCCATATATCTAGTATATGTGAGCCCTGATCTCAATCGTCAAACTTGAGTACATGTCTGAGTTAGCTCGTGTCACAATATTACAAGTTGGTTTTTAAATATAAGATCTTGATCCGATGGCTCAAAGTGTTTTATTTTTAATTTTTATCGTATAAATTATTTTACAATGAAATTCAGGACATGTATATATTTGACATGGGTGCAGATGATAAAAACAATATACAAATATTTCTCATGATAAAAATTATTAGAATACCATTAAAACTATCAAGGGTATTTGATCTTTTAAATTTATTTGAAAGTCCTATGATAAAAATTATTAGAATACCACTGAAACTGTCAGTGGCATTTTGGTTTTTTATTTTTATATGAAATTTTTTACTTTTATTTTTACTCGGTGTGTCTCAGGAAGGATATAAGATGCCTCAAATTTCAGCCAAAAAAGTTTTGTAGAAAAAATTAACAAGAAAATAGTATTTTACATACTTTAAGAAAGTTCCATATGTTCTTGTGAGGTTCTTTTGATACTTCGAGAAAGTTCCATCTTCTTAGATGAGATAGGGTATGTACACTGAAGAGTGAAGGTGGATTGGGGTTAAGAAAAATTAAATTGGTTAACCAAACTTTATTTTGTAAGTGGTGGTAGCGCAATTTCCACTTTAAGGACCATTTGTGGTATCAAGTTCTTTGGGCTAAGTATGGTGCAAATAGATTTGGGATGTAGAATGGATCTCGGCGAGGAAATGGGAATGTATCATCTTTTTGGAGATATATTTATTTGTGTAAGCAGCTTATTTATTGGAATATTCGTTGGAATTTCAGTAATGGCTTATATATATCCTTTTGACACCATAAGTGACTTCAAGCTTGTTCCTTAAAAGTTGCATTCCCAAATATTTTTTATAAGATGGATAATCCTAATGCAATGGTAGCATATATGTTTGAAGTTAGGGGTAATCAGGTAGTTTGGAATATCAATCCACAGTATAATAGGATTTCTTATTACCTATGCTCTCAACTAGATTCTCTTCCGGACGTCTTGAGCCATGTCTATATCCCACGGATAGTAGAAGACGAGGTAGTATGGGAGATAGAGAGCAATGGTCTTTTCTCGGTGAAGTCTATTTATGTTATTCTCTTTAATGATCGTTGGAGATGGTCTTTATTTCAAATTGTTCAAGTTTGGTAATGGTTGATCTCACAAAAGTACATGCTTTTGTGTGGTTGACTACTCAAATCAAGATACTGACAGTTGATAATCTGATTAAGAGGGAGAAGATTATGCCAAACATATATATTTTGTGTAAAAACAATAATGAAACAGGAGCTCACCTATTTTTATATTGTTCATTCGTAGGTGTAGAGGTAAGGTGCACCTTCAAATTTTATCATGGTATATTTTGATCTAAAATGTTCATAAAATTATCTCAAAATCTATTTTTATATCTAGTTATAAAATTTTAAAAGTAAAAAATGGTTAAAATCAAGTAGATCTATAAACATATGAAAATCTTGAAAATGGACGGTGTAAATAATATGTTGTAAAATGCATTATTTCTGAGACTTAAAATCTTTTTATTTTTCATAGTCATACATCTCGATGTCGAGATGATCAATCAAATGGTTTTTCAACATTAAAACTACCTTTTTCGATGGATTTTTTAGGAGCATCCATAGTTCTACTAAGGTTGCATCCTTATATAAAAATTTTCCTTACAAAAATTAAGAAGTGCATGGCGAGAGAGAGTTGGTTTTCCTTTGTGCCTAAAGGATAGGGTGCTCTTCGGACTAATATTTATATGAATCTCAAATTTTTGGCTCATCTCTCTTCTCACTCTAGCCGTCCCCTTCGAATTTGGACTGCACCTCTAGAAGCTTGCCTTAAACTTAATTTTGATGGCCGCTCATTTGGAAATCCAAAGCCTGCAGGTGTTGGTGGGCTTCTTCACAACAATTTGGGATGGGTTCTTTTTCTTATTCGAGTTCTTGTGGGTCTACAATAGCCAATCATGTTGAATTGACTGTTGTCATTCAAAGCCTTCATATTATCATCGACATGGGTTTCGTTGGTGATATTATAATTGAAGGGGATTCACTAAAAGTTATCAAGTGGTGTAAAAAAGAGCAAATGATCCCTTGGTCCCTATTTACTCTTTGGTTAAAAATTGAAGACCCATATGTCTAACCTAATTTGATGAAAAGCTTCGACCACACCATGCGTGAAGCCAATGATGTTGCTGATGGGCTAGCTAAACATGGTGTTTCTCATCCCTTTTTACAAGTTTCCAACGATTTGATCCAAACTTTTGTTGGTTTTATGTGGCTTTTAAAGGCCTTATGAGTGTGTATTGAAATACTTTTATTATAGTTAAACATAAACTCAGTGGGAGTGTGGTTCTTTGAAGACCTTACTAAGTGAATAATGTTTGCTTATACGGACTGTGCTTATCGAACTATGTCAGTCGGTATTGAAAACCCAAGGTACCGGGGCATGTTAACCAAAGAGGGTTTCGGGTTAGCCCTTGATGAAGTTAGAGCTTATGCCTAGATGAGTGAGCTGAGGGACTGTGTGACCCTTGTGTGTGATGGTAGGCCTACTGAGACGGGGGCCAAAACCTTATCCATGTTCCATCACACAGCATGCATATTGATAAATCGCTCAGGAAAGCCAGATATCCACCTTTGGGTAAAGCATATGCATGTGTGAGAGATACCCCTATGCGCCATAGAGCTGTAGTCGTATCAGGTAGTGATCTTGACTCGTCTCTAAGGGAGGACCTGTAATCCACAGACTGCGATTGCGACCCCTTGATTCATCGGCCTTACTTTGGTGACCCGCTAATGAGCCCCTGCTTGGATTGTGGGTCATGAGAAACACTTGGTCAGTTCGATAAAGCTAGTGTGGTATGTAGTCCACAGTTGAAGGTGGAGTACTCCATTATTACAGATTGCATTCTTAAACCATATAGATCCTTTCCCATCATATTAATTTAATTGTATTCATTTTATTATTGAAATGATTTTAGTTTTATTATTTGAATTTTTATAAATCTCTCAATATTTTATTTATGATTTTTGGACTTATAGAAATACAGTTATTGATTCTACAAAGTTATAAAAATTCAAATATATATTAATTCCTTTTATTTAATTTTCAATTTTTTTATAAAATTCTATAGGGCCCCAAAGTGCACATGGGCCCACCATGTGGCATGTGAGTGGGGGCCCACATGTGCCACAAAAGGGTGACATGCCCCACCCTTGGATGCCTCTTCTTGATTACTTTGAGTACAAGGTTATTGAATATGGTAACTTTATCTTATAGCATATGGTCAAATAGTGATTAGGAAATATTGACCATATCTTATCTTGATTATTGAAGGAAAATCTTGACTTGATATTATTGAAATATTCTTATGGAAAATATGAAATGGAATATGCAATTTTATGGTATGCACTATATCTTTGATAGATTTAATTTATTTAAATATATTGATGGGAAAATGGTTTAAAAAAAGGGGGGTAATGGTCCATGCACCTTCCATAATGTTGATGACCCATATATGGAATGGATGGCTCAAATCTCTCACCCCACAAGTCA